CAAAATACTATGTCAGCAGTATTCTTGGAATAATTCTTGGAAGGACCCAAATTTAAGACAGAGTAAGACACTGACTTTCTTTTTATCCATGCACAGCAACAAATTTGCCCACTGAGCACTTTTCATATTTTAAGAAATGCTGACTGCAATAAGCTACTGTTCATTAAGAAGTCTTCTGTGCACAGGAAACCCACAATACATTCTCTAAAAGAATAATTCCTTTTATTCTTTTTAGTTCTTAAATCTAGACATTGATAAGCGCTACTTTCCAAGATAAAAGACCTTTAATTTAGATGACACAAAGTACACCACTGAAGAAAAGTTCTACTTCTTTACAAAGGCAATATACCAGCATACAAGACCACTGGCACCTATACAGCTAATCTCGTTCTTGGAAGAATTACATTCATGTAGCAATTCTGCCCTGTGAAAAACTGCCTTGTCCCCAACCAGAGCTATTTAGAACACAGATTTCAACATAACGAAGGCTGTAACTTTATACGGAGTTGGAGCGGTCTTGCAGTACCATGAGCAGTGCATTCCTGAAACTCTCCTGTACCAGTGTAATGTCAACAGAAAAGGCTGAGTGGTGATGTAATGTCTGAGGGCATGCCAGAGTCAAGACACTTTTTGCTGGATTCACAGGGTACAAGTTATTTCTCCCCACCCCCTCTTTTTTAAAGCAGGCAATAGGCAGTTGATTTTACAACCACAAGTGTTATAGAGCCTCATATTATCTACACAGGGAAAAAAAGGAATGAGCTGATAGCATTCATCACTGTGACACAGACAACAATTCTTGAGCAAGAAAAGCTTTTGGTCTATTTTAGTTTGGAGTTTTTGTGGTTTTTTTCCTGAGCCTGTTTTTGCTGCTGCCTATCACTATGGCCTCTGAGCCTCCTCCACTTAAAAATGCATTTGGGTGCCTGAAGCCCTCCAATACTTTTTGTATTCTCAGATACAAGAAGATAATTTCTATACCAGTCTAGCAACTAAAAATCCTTAGTATTTAATCAGTATTTCCCAAATGCTAATGCTGACAAGAAGAATAGAAACTCCCCCAGCACCCTAGCATGACTTAAGATTCTCACATATTTAATCTTTCTATTTAATCAAACCCTTGTGCACATTAGGGTAAAGTCACGCACATGGGACTAAGTCAGTGGGACTAGGATACATAAATAAATTGCTTTTAAAATTCTGGACCTGGACACTCATACCAGAAGGATGGGTAAATTATGGTCTCATACAAATCTCCACGGCCAACAGAGACAGTGGGAAGCTGAGAGTCATGCTTGATCCATCCAGCCTACATTACATTACCCTTCCTCCCTTCCACAGCAGTATGACTCAAGTGAGCTCCTGGACAATGCAAATGCCATACAATTTTGAACCTGTTTATCTACCAACATCAGAACTCACCTCCAAAGAAAAAAAAAATCGGTTTCATGTAAATGAGGTCATTACACTAGTGACATGGACAAAAGACAGAGTGTCAGGGAAGCAAATTAAGGCAGTTATAAGAGGGTGCAAATAAAACACCAGTTAAACAATGCCTCTCAGCCTTTGGTAGCTGTGAGAAACAAGAAAAGCATGGCTGTGGCATTCTTATGAAAAGTGCTCATATATATTGTTTATTGATTTTCAAATGAGGTTCACAAGGACTAGGACAATAATGCTTTTGGAGGAAAATCACAGTTTGCAAGGTCACAAAAAGAAACAAAGCTGTTCATCCTCTAAGACCCCTGTCACTTAGCTTGTGTAAAAACCACCTCTCCCCCCCAAAACACCTCAAAACTATATAGGCACTTCAGAAGCCGTTCTGCTAAACTTACAAAAATCAGAAGATTATTTGCGTTACCAAGTGAATCTTTCTGTGTTTTGTACCACAAAGCACTACTGCTATCTAATTTTTTGCTATGAGATTTCAACCCACTTGCATCACAGATGCTCCAATAAAAGGAGATGGTATACAGTTCATTGCACATCTTCCCTATAGAGTAACAGATCAAGAATTCCGGATCCAAGTCCCGTTGAGCACCTGTCACAATCTGTGAGCACTAAAAAAAAATGATACTGAAAAGATTAGTATAGAGTCTAACTACCATCAACAGAAAAAACAATCAAATTGTTCCTCAGCTAGTAGTCTGTGTTTTATTTGTGCAAAGAAATTGTATAACACACGTACCTTGTCAAAGTAAGAATAACACATCTGATCATTATGGGAACTTAAGTACTTGGTTTCTTACGATAAAAGGATGATCTTCAAGAGAACTCTTATGTTGTGAGCTTGCAGTTCAAAATCTGCTCATTTCTGCCATACTAGAATCCAACAGCTCTATGTGCAACATGGTGTTATTTACAAAGGCTCACCCAAAATTAAGAGTTATAGGTTTTTAAGCCATGATGGTCATGATTTATGAGAAAACTTCCTTTGAATAAACCATTTTCTACGCACAAACTTCAGAGAAATATCAACAAAGGTTGTAGCTCTGTGAGAAACTGAGTCTTGCAGAGCTTAAAGGCCATCTCTCCATCTCTCACCTACCATCTGAACCCTTCCTTATATCACATTCAAACACTCTGAGCCCTCTGAGTGTCAATACAAGTCATTAACCCACAGAAAGAAGTAAATGTTGCTCCAAAGTTAGGAAGCTGTATCAGTAGAAGGTCTTACATCACCTCTACTGGATGATGCCTCTCCCTCTGAGCAGTTGTTTTCTTTTTCCAATGCAAGTGCATTCTAAGCCCTGCTGTGTTAAGGACACCCCTTCCTCATTAGAGTTAAAATATAGAATAGAAATGCAAAATTATCAGATGAATTACCTGTGCAGACAACACATAATAGTGAACACCTAATTTTGAACACAGTAGAGTCGTATTTTTAAATTACTAGGCTCTGTGTAAAGGGTTAAAACCTAATTAGTTAAGACAACTTAAAAGAGAAAAATAAGATTAACTCAGCAGTTTTATAAAGATGAAAAGAAAAATCGAAGACAGGGAACATCAGAGGTGCAATGTGAAAAAATTGCTGAAGAAGCCTTCCTACCACAAGTGCCACTCACAATTTGAAAACAACCCTCTCATCCTTAGATCATTTAACATCAGCCTTCGCCCACACAGAGTTTTGATCCCAGAAGGAAATACAAGCAAGGAATTCTATGAAGCTTACTTTGCATGGATCTCAAATAAAAGACATTCTTGATTAAGGCAAAGGACATCAATAGTAAAAGGGAGAGCGGACTAGAACTACATTAAATTGGATACAGATTTATTTTGTCTTTTGATGAATTCTGATTCACAGGGGTGAAGATTCATACATATTGTGCAAAAGCATACTAGTTGTATAGAAGAGCAAAACTCAAAAAAAATTTGCAATTTTTTCATTCATCTTGTCTATCTTATAGTCGGTTTCAACTCTAACCTTCTTGATATACCTGGAATTGGAACTGGGTTCTCTGTAAAAGGCAGTCCCTAAGGACTATCCATAGTGCTGACAATCTTAGTCACTGAATTTGAAAATTACTGGACAGTTCCAAACATATAGAGTTGAAGCATGTGTGGCATTTTCGATTTCATTATCTTTTCTCCTTCCTTAGAAGAGGACTATAAGCATGTGTCTAAATGTCAAATTCCACATCTCTCTAACATTCCATATTAAACTTCATCTTCCCTGTTAGCTTTGCATAGCATTTTAAGACAATATAAATGTCTTTTGCTCTGATTTCCAACTCATTAGCAGCATTACGTGCTGCTACTTATCTGAACAGAAAGTCAATCAAGCCACAAGAATATTAATTTTTTTAAAAATGCAGGCTCCTGAAGTATTGCATCAACCTGGTGCAGAACAGAAATATTCTTCCTCTTAAAATAATACCAAACCCATAAGAAAATGGCTTCTAAAGCAGAGAAACATATACTAAGGCTTTTATCTACATCTTCAGTAACAGATGAGAAGCTAAACTATGCATCAGAGTGTACACAGGTCTACACTGATTTCCAGAGGAGAAGAACAATGAACCACAAATTGTCAGCAGTTTACTTCTTAAGCAATACGAATGTTTTCCCATTCCTAAATGGGAAAACATTAATTTTTTTTAAAGATGGTTTCATTATCACATTTTCACACTCCTTGTCAAAAACTATGAAAATTCAGAAACACTGCTCAAATTCAGAGACATAGAAGTATTTCCTACTTGCAATCTGAAAGAAGCTCAACTCTGCCTCCTGCAGTAGCAGCAATAGAATTAATGATCAAATTCTGACTGCAGGAATTTTGCTGATGACAGCAAAGAAATTGTTGGATCATAGTTCAATACTATCATGGCTTGAAAATACATTTTTTGTCCTTACACAGTGTTAGTGGTTATTAGATGTACAACTGTCCAAAGACAATATCTGGCTCTAGAATCATACGAACTGCTGTTTAGCCACTTTATGTGTGACCTATTTCTCTGTGATTAGTAGTAGGGACGAAGTCCTGCTTCAGTAAAGTAACAGACTATTCCTTCCTAAGCACATGCCATCATCGCTTACAGAACACTGAGCTACTAAGATCTATCCTACTGATCCAGTAGTGTAGTATTAAAAGAGAAACACTGTAATTTGAAATAAAAATCAATAACTCTATAAATCCACAATATTTACATTTGCCTCTACTGCATTCAGTAGCAATATTGAAAAGCAAGGAAAATGCTTCCTTATCATATGTAGATGAGTAGACAACATCATATGAACAGAATCCAAAAAACGTCTGCAAATATTTTCCTTCTGAATATTATCTTCCAATGAGTATTAGATTACATCAAACAAGAGGTAAAATTTATTACATACTTTGTTATTTGTTTTCCTTCTTTCATAGCCCACATGGCAAAACAGTTCTGAATAACCTTCTGTGTGTCCTGTCTCTTGTTTTATCTCATGAATCAGAAAAAACCCACCCTTACAGAGGTGTTCTCAAACACTCATGGAAACTCAGGACAACATTGGTTGCTTATTACCTGATCACGATCACCTGCAAAACAGCAGCTCTTCATAGTACATGAGTTGAAGTACCCTTGGTTGTCAAACTGGAAGACAGGAAGCCGGCAATGGATGTCGTAGAGGACCGGGGGAAGGCGCCGACGCAGAGCCAGCAGCTGGGTCCCATTACTGTTGAACCGGACACTCATGGCACTCTGAAGGGAGAGGTTTCCACCATAGCGGAGAAGTGAACTGGGAAAAACCAGATGAAACAAGTGAGATGGGCCGAGCATATAAACTGAACTACTTAAAGACAGAACTTTCTTTAACCTTACTGAGTCATTTCAAACAAACAAGCAGAGTAAACTATAATCTTACTTAGTTTCTGCTTCAAAGTATCAATTCCTGAAAAAACTTAAACCAAAACTTGACTGACAAACTATCAAAATGCTATGATTCTAGAATCTTCAGAAGAATAAAATTAAGGACTATGAGTAGTTTTGTTAATAACAAATACATTTCCTGAATAGGAGCAAAATCTGACAGAGCACTTAGCCTTAAAAAGATTGTCCTTGTACTTCTGGGATGTCTGCCTTTGAAACTGACCCTACCAACACCCAGCCCTTTTCGTTAGCTGGTGCTTGAACCTAGACAGTCCAAACTTTTCTTAACTCTGCTTTTTCTCCCATTGTAGATAGTCTGACCATTATCTCACCTCTGGCTTTATTTACATCTCTACAGGGCATCTGAGGATGTTTGATCTCTACAATCAGTTCCAGATGTCTTAAATAAAAGGGCATCTTACTAAGGAATTATTGCAACAAATGCTAAAATAAGTCACTTAGCTAATCTCAAACTGGCTTCATCTAAAAATACTGCCAAGTAGGCAAGACAATTATGCTGACACTGTTACCTAAAACTCTCACATGCCTGAATTAGCTAATTTCCTTGTCCCCCGTAAGGCTGTACATCCAGAGCTGGAGTATTTGTATCTGTTCTTATTGACATACAGAAGACAAAACCAAAGGGCCACAGGTTTCCAGGCTCTCTGTTTAAAAAGTAATAGAAACTAAATGTGTTCCATCCAGGAACCTAAAGATAATCACAGCATACCTGAAATGCAGCTTGTGTTGTACAGACTTTCTGTTTTTTTCAAAGACTTCGTTCAATCCCTGTACTTGAAATGAGTGTGTGTATAGAAAGGAAGACAAAGATGGAAGACATTTTGTCCCTTTTTTGTTTAGTGATCACTGAAACCTCCCTTAGAAGTACCAGCATTTTTTGAGCAATACCCATCAAATCTTATTGGGAGCTGTGACTTTTATGCACCTTCTGGACCACAAAAGGCATGCCAGCACAGAATTTGCAAATTCTAGAGGGAAGTTTATTAACAGATTTTAATGCATAATACTTTCTGATGTAGCCCTCTGCCCAAACAACTATGAAAAATGAGTCACTCCACATTGATGGAAAGCCACATTCCACGCAGGTTGAAACACGCTTTACTACATGAGATACTGTTAAGTTAAAACACTATTGTTTCTAAGCCAGAGCTAAACAAAACCAAAACAAAATAGAAGACTATACATAATGAATGCACTAGAAATACACTGCTCTCACATACATGCACTTTGTGAAGAGAACAGTCAAAGCCAGGGTGCCAAAAAGGCACCAGAAGTCACATTTTCAAAGTCAGCTAATTAGTAAGACCTTCAAGCTGGGTACTTTTGAACACCTGTATCAACATGAACAGTCCTGATCTCTCATGTTCTCCTCCTCCTAGGCAAAGCTGATGAGCTTCTCTTAATAGCGTTACAGATTTTTAATAGAAACATGAAAGAATGTAATAGTAGAAACTGTAACCTTAGAGACAAGAATTTAGGATCCCCCTCATCAGCCCTACCTTCTGTTATTCAAGACCAATAAAGTATTAATCCAGCTCAAAATACTCAGATGTTAAAAAAGCAAAACAAAAGAAAACCAAAACACACATGACTGTTTTGCCTCCCCCTGTCCTGATATGTTTGAGTAAGCCAATTTTTTTCCTATGGAAGTTTCCACTTCCTAAAAAACACTTGACAAATAAACTAAAACAACACAATGCTCAAAAAAAACCCCCAAACAAACCAAAACCTCAACAAAAAAGAAACAGGTAGAAGAAATAACCCCAGATTATTTTTTTTGAGAAAAATCAATTTTTATATTAAAATATATGAGTTCTCCAACATGGGTAAGAAGGTCATAACATACACACACCTATCAGACCTAATGTAAAGGCGTAGCCACTGCTGCACCAAGCTCCTCTACTCATTACCAGTTTTCCTCCTTAATCCAAACCACAGCCTGGAATTCTCTCCTGTCTACAAATGAGTGAGCCTACCAGATGCCTTATCCTTTCAAGTCTTCAGGCAAAGTTTCCATGGTTACTCTTATTATGCCCTGCCTGAAATAATTTGAAATTATATTTTCTAGTAACAGTAGTATAATATTAAACTAGCTTCCATGCTGCTTACTGATGTTTCACGAAGCTCCTGTGGCACCATTATCAAAGCAAACACCTCTTGGAGTTGAATTCTGTCTTGTGTTGCAGTTACTTTAGTGTATCAAAGCTCCAAAAGAGTATTTTACTTCAGAAAGCAAAGGACACAAGAAAGACTAGAACTTCGGAAAAAATGATCATATACACACATAAGAAGTCTAGAATTAAGGAGCTGATTTGTTAATGTTCCTTAAAAAGATCCACAGCTTTGACTACCTCGTACCCTTACTCTTCCACATGACTGAGCCATACATGCAATAGAAATACATCTCCTGCTGTAGTTCCTTGCACATTTGGCTCAGACAAAAAAAAGAAAAACAAACAAAAACCCCAAATCCCACACTAATACAAAAGGCAGTGGGCTAGTTTGGCTGATGCAGCCAATAGTCATTTGTCTTACATTTGTAATGTAAGAGTGACATGCTGGTGACTTTCCCGACTTGCCTCAATTCTCATGTCTCCAAAAGTCAGACTCTATAGCTCCAAGTGCAACATTTTGCTGTACTATTCACAAGACAATGGTTTTCTGTTTTCCCCACCCTGCTGTGTCTTGATTGCTTCCTCTCTGCCTCTTTGAAAGGGTTTGTTAAATTAACTTCACAGTGTTTTCCTTTAACAAGCTCTGAAAAGAGGCAGTAGGTAGTCAGGTGGAGATGAGATGAACAAATTGACACCAATCCCTGCCAAACATCCATTTCCTGATACAAACAGATGAAAAATATTTGCTCTCTCTCTCCTCCTAGACAGAAGATTTGAGAGATATGTTCAGGAATATGAGGGGGTATGTATATGGAGGGAGTGCAGCTTGTGGCTCCTATTTCTCAAAGGACATATAAAAGATTTGAGAAATCTCTCTTGCTCTGTCTCCTACTGCAGGCAGTGCACTTGGTAGCAGTACTGAGAACCGAGAAACCCAAGACTGCAGTATCTTCCATCATAAAAATTAGTTGATTATAGAACAAGAATGCTGGCTTTAGGGGAAAATACTAATTGCCTGAGTATTCTATCTCCATCAAAACTGCAGGAAAAGAGCAGTGAGCCATACCCAAGAAAGAAGCTGGCAGAAGTTATTTTTGATGGTATTAAACCACTATTAATACTCATTAGTACTAAGGAAGAGGTGTGAATCAAGAAGCCCTAGAGATCTTCAAAATAATCAGAATCAGAGCTTTTGCACCTTTTTTTTTTTTTTTTTTTTTTTTTTTTTTTTTTTTTTTTTTTTGGTAGGGACAGAAAAGGAAGGGGAGCACTGTGCTTAAGCATGTTCACTGCTCAAATGACTATCACCACTTTCCTGGTTGCCCCATAGTGCTGCTCTGTACCTTTAGATGGTGCTGCTTTTGGATATTTTCACATAGTGGGGCAGTGTAGACGTGTTTGGGTAAGTTGCCCATGTTAAAGCTGCCACTTCTGCCTGCCCTTATTGCATGCTCCAACAGAGAACTTTCAGAGGCAACACCTTCTTGCAGTTATTAAAAAGTTTACTGATGCATCACACTCAGTCCTTTCCTCTTAAAGACCCAGACCATGACAGCTAGTGAGAAATCTGAAGGCAATCCTAAAGGGGTACCTCTGAACAAGATGGATGCCCTTTCTGCCAGAGGCATTATCTTTATGAATCCAGAGCCAGACTACTCGAATTTACTCTGCTTCCAAATTTGGCTCACCCAGACAGCTGTGGAATGCTGATGTTGCCTGCCAACTCTGGAAGCAATACAGAGACGCATGCACATCTGAGTTTTTAAAAAAGTCATATTGTATGATTAAGAGAAATATTTAGACCACAGATGGAACATTACAATCCAAACACGCATGCTGGAGCTGGAGGGAGACGGAGGAGGGAGAGAATGGCCGGTTATATGCAATATGGTCATTTCCGTAGCTGGTTATGCTGCACACAGGCAGCATGCAAGTGTTAACTAAATACCCGCCCAGCCAAACAATGGAAGGCTTTCAATCCAAGAGTAGACCACTAATGTAAATAAATCAGTTTCTACTGGCAGGCACTGGGGTAAGGGAAGGAGTAGTCTAACTGGACTCAGAATTTGCAGGAAAAGTCTATACCTGAAGCAAGCATTTGTCTCTCCTCCTCTCTCCTCTTTTCCAGACAAAGAAGCTGTTACATCCATTTTTGAAGAGTCGACTGCCTGACTGAGAACATAAGCTTAAATCAGGCTATTCAAAAGTAAGTTTGGCACAAGACAGTGCCCATTAAAAGTGAGAGAAGATCAGTGTCTTGGTAGAAATAAAATTAAATTTATATGTTAAATTAAACCACTGAATAGTTCCTACCGATAAGCTACAAATCTGACAATGAACTGCAGGACAAATACTGGCCTTGGGAAATGGGTGTCATTTAAGAGGGAAAAGAAAGGAAGGAAATAAGGGAGAAAGTGTTGGTATCATAAACAGCAGTGAGTGAAACTAACTTAATGAAAGAATGACCTTAAAAGGAAAAAATGAACTGAATGCTCACAACTGATACACACCATTTTATACAACTGTATTTGTCAGCAATTTTGTAACCACAAAATTGAGGAACTTTTAACTGTGCATAAAGAGCTGAAATGAAACTTGGCAAACAGAATTTTGGCTTGGAAAACTGCAAAAAAGTTAGGGGTTTTATTTGCAAGTTATTTTGTGTGTAAAAAGACACACAATTCATATTTAGTCTGAAGAAAACACTTAGAAAGGGCCAAATTAACAAATAACA